TATTACATATATATATATATATATGTATGTATGGCTTCACAAACATCTACTAATTCTTATGCCAAATTTAACATTTTGGTAAAAGCTGTTAAAGCTCTAAAATTAGTTATGGTTGCATATATTAGTAGATAAACTTAGGTTCTTACGGTTTTATTTTTTGTTATCAACCAAAAGATCTCGTACCATTGAAGTATATATGTTTTTTAAATTCTTATTTATTCTTTTATTTTATTGATCAGGGACCTTGTTTTGTATTCCAATAAATATCCTGGTAAATATCTAATTTTATACAAATACTCTTAATGATAATAGATATATGTGTTTTTCTGACAACAGTTATGAACATTATATATAGTTATCATTTTTCATGTATTTGTCTTATATATGAATGCAAAACCTGTAGAACAATATAGTAATCCAGCAAATACAAAAATTGTTTTGTTTCCATATATTTCTTCTTCTCTGTTTTATGATTTTTTTTTATATTTTATGTTTTTATTGTCCATTGCATGTCTTAGTCTTACCATAATAGAATTAGAAGGTAGCAATTATGTTCAGCTAAGTCACGTAACCAGATCAATTAATATAAAATATGTTGATTAGAGATTACAACTTTATGTTCGTAATAGAATTCCTTGCCGTTATATTTGAATTGATACTATTGGCGAGATTTACAGTCAAAGATTCCATGATCTTTATCATGGTTATAGAAATTCAACCTCACATGCAATGTTGCTGAACACAATTTAGAATCCACTGCACGTGTGTGCCAACACCACTCCTTGGTACAATTGGCCCCATGCACTCGCCCACTACGTACATGTAGTTAACCAAATTACACCATAATTGTTTTGAGGAAAGAAATCACCATTTATGTTGTCGAATTTGTCCTTAACCATATGGTTAGTGGCACATCTCTGTCACAGCGTATTGAAAATTATTTTTCTCCAATTATAGAGGCAATGCAAGTATGCAAGTTTGACTTTTCTAGGTAGCAAGTTTTTCTCACTTTGATTTGAAAGAAACACGTCTCAACTCTCAAGTTATGAAGTCTTGAAGGCCTTAAGATCAAAGCCAACCAAATTTCAGTACTAAAGTTGAAAATTCAAACCAATATACATTTCTCCAAGTTTGCACATACCCCACTTGGACTTCATTGTAAGTGCTGTGCTGCCACTTGACATCACTTCACAAGTCAAGAAACATTATCTGCAACCTCAAACTCTCTAAGTTTCTACCTGTGTAAGCAAGCAGAAAGAAAAAAACTAATGGCAGTTGGGTTGGCTATAACAACTGAAAGTGAAAAAAACAATGGTAAGATAACCCTTTATGTTGTCCTGTCTTGTATGATGGCTGCCATGGGAGGGATCATCTTTGGCTATGACATTGGAATAACGGGTGGAGTGACCTCAATGGAGCCATTTCTGAAGAAGTTCTTCCACAAAGTGTACCTTAAGAAAGCCGATGTCAAAGTTAGCAACTACTGTGTATTTGACAGCCAACTATTGACCTCTTTTACATCCTCTCTTTATGTTGCTGGTCTTGTTACTTCCTTCTTTGCTTCTTATATCACCAAAGCCTTTGGCCGAAAGCCGTCCATCGTGGCTGGCGGCGCTGCATTCCTTGCCGGTACAGCACTTGGAGGTGCAGCTTTTAATGTGTACATGCTCATAGTTGGTAGACTTTTGCTTGGAGTTGGGGTTGGTTTTGCAAACCAGGTAGCTACCTTTTCCTTCATGTTTCTATAGCATAACATCAAGCATCTCAAATATTGCATAGACTATACAGCTTAAAATTCAATTGGAAACTAGACAATCCCTCTCTTGCCAACATTAAAGATAACAACTTATCCCAATTAGATACATAGATCACATATTCAGCTTAGTTAAACAACAAATCTTAAAAAATACTATTTACTATGAGATCTCTCTTAACAAATTCGTCCAAAATCTTTCTTGGTTTTCCTCTCTCTCCCTTTTTATAGGGTCAAAAACTATGCAAGCTACTTTCTACACTGATGCATTTAGGATTTGTTACTTTTTAGCAAAGTGCATTCGGAACCGTTTAAAGACTGAAGTTTAAAAAGAATAACCATCGACTATGATTTTTCGTTAAACTATACTCATGCTGATCTAGCTTATAGGATCACTACATGATCTAAATGACACATTCATAAAGGGGAAGTTAGTAATTCTCATGCTTTCTGGAATAAGCAGGACTTGTCTACTGTTTATAATGTTGCCAACTTGCTCCAACCATCTCAGATTACATATTGGCAAATTGTAACCATTCTCCTAAGGGCGTGGAAAACAAATATATGCTTTTATGGGGGCGAAACATTATTACATTAAAAATACAAAAATTATCCATGGCTTACTTTTTTATGCCATTAGAATCATAATCCTCCTTAACCAATGCTTTTTGGGCCCTTAAAACAAGGATTTGACTTTTCTAAAATATGTAATTACTATTGACTGTTTGGTTGGAGAAGGAGGTGAGAGATTTTTTTAAATTTGTTTTGTTAGCTAAATCCCTCCAAACTGAATTATTTTAAATTTTAGCTCCCCTCTATTGGGAGAATATGGAGGAGAGAGAAGGGATTTTAAAATATTAATAGTATAATGTCTGAAATATCTTTACTTGTATTTTAAAATTTAAAATTATGTTATAAAGGTAAATTAATTTTTAAAATCTCTCTTTTCTTCTTGTGAATTAAACAAGAATAGAGTTAGATCGATTTCTTTCAACTAAACAAAATTTATAATTCCTTCCCTTCCCTTACCTCCATTAAAACCTATTTCCTTCCCTCTCTTCTTTTAAACCAAACAAACCTAAAGGAAATAATTATAATCATTATAAAAATAAAAATAAAAAATCAATATTACATGCACATTTATACTAAATCATGAATGTTAGAATATCAATTATTTTTCTCATCAATAACTCAGATTACTTACTTAACCATTGCTTAGAGGAGCCAAATCCCAATAACAAGACACTAATTTCTTTCAATTTGTGTACTGGTTTGGCAGGCAGTTCCTTTGTATCTCTCTGAAATGGCTCTACCGCGGCTAAGAGGGGCAATTAACAACGGCTTCCAATTAAGCATAGGCATTGGTGCTCTATCTGCCAATCTAATCAACTATGGAACAGAGAAGATTGAAGGTGGTTGGGGTTGGCGCATGTCCTTAGCCATGGCAGCAGTTCCAGCCTCAGTGCTCACACTAGGTTCACTTTTCCTCCCTGAAACTCCCAACAGCTTAATCCAACGCAGCCATGATCATCATAAGGCCAAGCTTGTGCTTCAGCGAATTCGAGGCACGGAAGATGTGCAAGAAGAACTTGATGACCTCATTAAAGCAAGTTCTCCTTCTAAAACCAACAAGAAACAATCATTTAAGCTCATTTTCAAACAAAGATATAGGCCTCAGCTTGTGATGGCAATAGTAATACCATTTTTCCAGCAAGTGACAGGGATCAATGTCATTGCCTTCTATGCCCCTTTACTTTTTAGGACAATCGGGTTAGGAGAAAGTGCATCACTGTTGTCAGCTGTGATGACAGGAGTTGTAGGAACTGGCTCAACCTTCATATCAATGTTCATAGTGGATAAACTTGGAAGGAGAACCTTGTTTATGATTGGGGGCATTCAAATGTTTGTATCACAGTGCATAGTTGGAGGCATACTGGCACTTCATCTCAAAGATCATGGTGGATTAAGCAAAGGGTATGCTAGTGTGGTTTTGGTTATGATAGGCATTTATGTTGCTGGGTTTGGATGGTCATGGGGGCCACTAGGTTGGTTAGTACCAAGTGAGATTTTTCCTTTGGAAATTAGATCAGTAGGGCAAAGCATCACAGTGGCAGTGAGCTTTATCTTCACTTTCATTGTTGCTCAGACTTTTCTGTCCATGCTTTGCCACTTCAGGTCTGGGATTTTCTTCTTCTTTGGAGGTTGGGTGGTGGTGATGACTATGTTTGTGTACTATTTCCTGCCAGAGACCAAAAATGTGCCCCTTGAACAGATGGAGAGAGTGTGGCAAGAGCATTGGTTTTGGAAGAGAATAGTGTGAAATGAGTGATAGACAGCATAAAGGAGAGGTTGAATATGATGCTTCAAGGAAGATTTAAATCAAATGTTATACGAATGGTAGCACAACCATTTGTCTCTTACCTTGATCATAAATGCAATGAGTTTTTTTTCTGATTGAAAAACTAGATTTTAAATATATACGCTGACAAGTGTTTGGGGAAAGAGAGAGAAAATCGACCATCGGAAAATTAGATGGACAAACTTCCAAATAGCAAGACCTTAATGGAACAAATTATCACTCTTGAACTGGAATGTATTTTGACCTTTAGTCATTTTCGTGAGAATAGCTTAATTTCTTATTTTACATTTTTATTTGACTGACCAGTGTGAATATTTCAAGTAAAATAGAATACTAAGAATAGAAACATGGTCAGTATGATGAACATTGCAGCTAAAAGTACCATTATTTGATATGGTTGTTTTCAAGTATAGATAAAGTACACCTCAGAATTTTCTTAGTCCACTAGATGCAGGTGGTTTTCTTTCTATTTCACATGTTGGTTATTTGAAGTTGGTGCTGAAATGTAAAGATAATTTGAAGGAAGAAGAAGTGCGCGTGTTTGGTTTCACGTTTGAAACGTGAAAAATCACGTTTAACGTGGAAGTTACAATGTATAGCTTCACGTTAAACGTGATTTTTCACGTTTCAAACGTGAAACCAAACACAGGCGAAAATTATTTTTCAGCAGAAAGTAATAGAAATATGCGGAAGTGAGAGAGATATCATTTAATTGATTCAAAACATATATATATATATATAGTTAAAAAGATAACTAATCACTAACAACACATTTTTTAACGAAGTCACGATTAAACAAACTTAAAATAAAAAATTGAAAATTATCAAACTCTAAAATTTAGGAAATTAACTTTGACTTATTCAAAACAACATAAATAAACGGATAATTGCAAACGTGGCAGTAATCCTAAACACAACAACTAACACACTCATCCTTGTTTTAGAGGCTGCAATCACCAAGTTTCATTCTCAGGATCTCAAGATCTCAAACTTGCTTGCAAGTAGGGATTTAGTAAAAAAAGAACTCAGTTATTTGATCTTCTATTTTGCAATGGACAAGAGTTACAAGATACAACACCATCCCTTTACACTTTTCTCAAGAAAAATAACTTGATGTTAAAATCTTTAGTCTTTCTATGTAATATTGGATTCTGAGAAATAGCTATTGCATCTTGATTATCAACAAAGATCTTAGTGTCTTCTTTCTATTCAAGATTAAGATCACTCAATATCTTCCTCAGCCAAAAAGCTTGATTGACAATCGTAGTTGCGGCAATAAACTCTTTTAGCAATAGATTGAGCTATTGTTTCTTGTTTTTTTGAACTCCATGAAAAATCTAGATCCAAGACTAAAGTAATATCCTAAGGTGTTTTTCAAGTCATCAATGCACTCTGCCCAATCACTGTTAGAGAAGCCCAACAACTTGAAATCCTTGCTTTTCTTGAACTTGATTCTAAAGTTAGTTGTGCCTTTGATGTATCTGATCACTCTTCTAGCAACCTTCAAGTGTGTTTCACTTGCACAATGCATGAACCAAGATAAAATACTTACAACAGTCAAGATATCGGGTCTTGTCACTATAAGGTACATCAAGCACCCAATCAAACTCTTGAAGTATGCCTCATCCACTTTTTCAGTTCCATCTTCCATAATGAACTTTTCTTTTAGATTCATAGGAGTACTCATTGACTTGAAATCCTCCATATGAAACATCTTGAGAATTTGCTTAGCATACTTCCTTTGGAAAAAGAAAACTTCATTTTGACTTTGCTTGATGTCCATTCCAAGAAAATAAGTCATCAATCCAAGATCAGTCATCTCAAAAACTTTCATCATTTCCATCTTAAATTCATCAATTAAGATTGTATTATTTCCTTTCACTAAAAGATCACCAACATAAAGAGAAGTAATGACAATTTCAAACTCACAGTGTTTGATATAAAAAATGGACTCGGAAAAGCTTTTTACAAAGCCTAAACTCAGCCAATGATTATCGATTTTGCTATACCCACTACTAGATTTTAATTCTTTAGCAACATTTTCTTGTTTACATTTATTAAAATGTTACTATATATTAAATAAATATGTTATTTTGCAACACTTTTTAAAAAAATGTCATTATAGATAGAGTAACATTTTTTTATTTCAATATTATTCTTTTCAATTGTTTTCAAAATCAAAGTCTCATATTGAGTAAAAAAATTTCATACAGGTTATTTTGCAACATTTTTAAAAAAAAATGTTACTATAATTGCTTCTAAAATCAAAGTCTCACATTGAGTAAAAAAAGTATATTTCTCTTATCTCTAATTATTACCCATAATTAAAGTCCCACATCGAATAGATATTAATGACTTATAAAGAGTATATATAATCTCATAGTTATACTTAAGATAAATAAAATTTGATATGTTATATATAATTAGTGGTGACTAACTAAGAATGTCTTCCCCTAAAAAATAATTAAGAATGTCTTTAATCTTCTATTAAAGAAGTCATAGGAGGCATATAAAATATAATAATTGATAGTGATATCTAAATTAAAATTAATTATCATTCTATAAAATTAACAAAATCTTAGTAACATCATTAAAATGTTACAAAAATACTACTTTGGCAACATTTTTCAAATGTTGCCTAATTACGTAAAAATGTTATTAAAAGTCTTTAACAACATGGACTATATACAACATTTGATAATATATTGCTAAAACAAATTAGTAACATTTATACATAATTAAGTAACATTTTTCAAATGTTAAAAACTATTTGTATTGTAGTGACCAAGCTCTTGGAGCTTGCTTCAATCCATAAAGTGCCTTCTTGAAAAGATAGACCTTTCCTTCTTCTCCTTTCTTCTCAAATCCTTTGGGTTGCTCAAATAAATTCCCTCATGCAAAAAACCATTCAAAAATGTGGATTTAACATCCAACTGATGCACCTTCCAACTCATTTGTTCTGCAACAAGTAGCAACCTGATGGTATCTAGCCTAGCAATTGGTGTCAATGTGTCTAAACATTCCACTCCAAAATTTAAGCATAGCCTTTAACCACAAACCTTACCTTGTGCTTGTTAATCGAGCCATCTACATTCGGCTTGGTTTGAAACACTTATTTAACCCCAATAACTTCTTCAATCATGTATAACTCCTCCTCCATTGCAACCATCCAATTTTGATGATGCTTTGCTTCTTCAAAATTTGTAGGCTCACAAACTACAATGTTACAAGTTAGATAAAAATCAAAAAACAGTTTAGTACCTCTAACTAGAATTTCATCCCCCATCTTATTTTTCCAATCTTCATTTCTTTGTTCCTTAACATTTGTGACAGGAAAATTTAAATGATTTGAGGGTTGATTTCTTTGCTCCCAATTCCATTTTTCATTTTCACAAAGTTCACATCCTTGCTTATGACAATACCCCTTATTTGTGGTTGAAAGACTTTATAAGCCTCAGATATTGTGTAACAACCTACAAAGATACCTTACATTGCCATCTTGCCTAGTTTATCATGCTTAACCTAAGGAACATAACTGAAGCACAAACAACCAAACACTTTTAAAAAGTTTAGAGATGGTTTATATTCATACCATGCTTCAAATGGTGTCAAATTCTTCAATGCCTTTGAAGGAATTTTATTTTGAAGAAAAATTGTTGTATTTGTTATCTTGGCCCAAAATTGCTTTAACAAATTTTTCTCATGCAACGTTCATTTTACCATTTCCAATATGTATCTATTTCTTCTCTCACTAACTCCATTTTTTGTTGTGGAGTGTAGGGAGCAATAAACTAGTGCTCTATACCAGCATCCTCACAAAATGGATTAAATTCTCTCGAGGTGTGCTCTTTTCCATTATCTGATTGTAGAACTTGAATGGTGCAACCACATTGATTTTCCATCATTTTCTTGAACTTCCAAAACACTCCAGCCATTTCTAACTTGAATTTTAAGAATAAAAAAAAATACAACAAAATCTTGTAAAATCATCAATGAAGATAATGTAGTAAAGACTACCTTTGAAAGATGGTGTTCTTTATGGTCCACAAAAATCAGTGTGGATCAATTGAAGTTTCTATGTTGCTCTCTAAGCTATTTTCAAAAAATTGTTTCATGTGTTGTTTTCCAAATTGACATGCTTAGTAATGAGAAAGATGATCTTCTAAATTAAGTAGACCTTTCACTAATTGTTTTGTTTGAAGCAATAATAATCCTTGATGATGATAATGACCGAGCCTCTTGTGCCATATCTTTATGACACTTTCCTCAGTAGGAAAAGTAGCCTATTCATCCTCTAATGAACTAAATGTGAAGTTCTTTCCTCTTATCTTGACCTTAAACATTTCTTGACCAGGTGCATCTTTTATGAAGTAGTATTTGTGTTCAAAATATACTTTGTAGCCCTTCTCCATCAATTGACCAACACTCAACAGATTTTGGTCAATTTCTAAAACATAAAGAACATTAGAGATAAGTTTTGTACCGAGACAACTTTCAATTACAATCGTGTCATTTCCCTTGAATGATATATGTTATCCATTGCCAATTCTAACTTTTGAAGTCTCTGTGCTTTTTTATTCCTTAAATAGCTCCTTGTCATAATAAGTCTTGTGATTAGTGCAACCACTATCAGTTAACTAGCTTTCACTTGAATCACTACTTGAGAAACAAGTAACAACAAATAGTTGATCCTCCTCCTCTTGAACAACAACTTGAGCATTTGCCTCTTGCTATTGAAATTGTACTTTGCATATCACAACTTTATAACCAAGTTAATTACACTTGTTGCATTTTGCATCAGGCATTTTCTAGCATTTGAATGGAGGGTGACCTATTCTATCACAATGCTAACAAGATGGGTAGTTTTTCTTTTTACCCTTTCCTTTGCTGCAAATATTTCTAGTGCTCTCATTACCTATACACTTATTCTTCTTGTAATTTTCCTTTTTTAATCATTCCAACTTCTTGGCTCTTGACATGTAAAGAACCTTCAATTGTACGATCTTGCCTCATAAGTCTTCGTTGCTCTTGGACTTGTAAGGTATGTATGACTTCTAGCAAAGTGATCTTGAACAAATCCTTTGTATTCTCTAATGTGATAATTGATGCTTCATATCACTTGAGCACTGTAACCAAAATATTTTCAACTATTCTAGAATCAACAAATTTAGTGTCAACCAATCTAACCTTGTTAGCAATGCTTAGCGATCTACTTGAGTAATCCTTAATCTTATCAGACTCTTTCATTTTTTGCGGCTCAAATTCCCACATCAAATTCAGAACTTGCATGTCTCAAATCCGCTCATCCCCAACATAATCTTTCTTTAAATAGTCCCAAATTGACTTTGGTGTCTTGTGGGTCATGATTCTAGTAAATATAGTCTGAGAAACACCAAAAAATAGGCATGACTTTGCCTTCTCCTTGGTTTTTTTTCTCTTTGTTATTCCTTATTTGGGCCATGGTGGGATAGTAAGGCAACAGAAGCAGATCGTAATCTTCTTCCACAACTTCCCACAAATCCAAAGCTTCTAAGTAGGACCCATTTTTATTGCCCAAATGTCATAATTCTCCCCATCAAAGATAGGAACAACATGGGAGAAAGTTAATTCAATATTCATTTCACGAGCTCCTCAAGAAGGGAGCTCGGATACCAATTTGTTGGTTATTTGAAGTTGCTATAAAAAAGCAAAGATAATTTGAAAGAAAGAGAAATTATGTTTTATCAAAAAGTAATAAAAATATGTAGATGTGAGAAAGATATCATTTAATTGATTTAAAACGTACATATATTATCAATAAAATAACTAGCCACTAACAACATGTTTTCTTGTGAGGCCACAATTAAACAAACTTAAAAGAAAAAACTGAAAAACTATCAAAACTCCTAAAATTTAGGAAACTTACTTTGACATATTCAAAACAACATAAATAAACAACTAATTGCAAACATGGCAATAGTCCTAAACATAACAGCTATAACATCACCAAAACGTAACAAAAGTGCAATTTAACAGAAAAGGTGTTCGCAGAAATAATTCAATCACCTAAAAGTTCTCCCAGCTTTAGTTTCCCCTCTTCTAGACAGAAGAGGTGTTGGCAATTTCACATGAATTGAAATATCATTTCCAGACATTGAAGTATCATGTGTTGATAGAATACTGCTAGGTTATGGGGAATTTTAAATCAGTCATGAATCTCGTGATATTATTTTTCCTAAGATTAATTTATGGCAAAATTGATGATTTCTTCATAATGGCTTATATAAGAGATTTGTTCTCCATGTATTTGCAGACATCCATCTTAATCAGTCTATCTGTGCATCAAACAGACTTATGCTATATTTATAGCCATTTAAACTCGGGAAAAGGGTGGAAAACTAGAAAATTCCTATGTGATGGGAGACATGTCCACGCACATTTAATTCAACTATTCAAGCACTCTCTTTATCCGTTGTGCATTATCACAATAACATTAACATGTTGCAAGACTTATTCTTCTAACTTCTTAGGCAGACAACATTGAAATCCTGTAGTCTGAAATCTTCATGCAATCATTTGATATTGTAAACAATCTGGTACAATCAACATTAATTGCTCAGCTTAGTCGTGACGATTTAAGCACATTTACATTTACGAGGCATCAATTTTCCTCAACCAGCAAAATTTGCATGCTGATATGAATCTAATTGTTCGAAGACACTCATTTCTTCAACAGTCTTTCTCAGGGTAGCACAGTAAAAACTTCCACGTCTTTCATTGCAGGGCTCCTAACTGAGTATTTAAATGTCCAACCATGGCAGGCACCAGCATGTTCCCCCTTTCTATTGAGGGCAACAACGGCTCCCAAAAAATTGGGAAATTTTCGTGCTATTCGTGCCATTGCGTCTTTAGCAGCAAGTTTGGGTTCCATTCCCAACCTCATACTTTCCACAACTTGATAGCTGAAATTGAATAGAAGTGTTAATCTTCATGGTTTGTTAGAGAAAACAAGAATAGGTAATAAAGTTGTAACTATACAAGAGCAAGACCGCTTAAAACTACAAACAAGGTAAAGAATGTGTCTTTTTTTTTTGCCAATGCAACGAGAAAAAAAATTATGTTTCAATACACTAGTTACAAAAGGATTAACATATAGCTATTACATGATCGATATCAGGTGTGTTACCCCAAACAGCAGTCGCTCCTTAAGATTAACAAGCTTTAATAAGAGCATTAGATACACAATCAAGTCATAGCAGTAGTGAATGTTCAGACATTTAGTACAAAACTGTATGTGTATATGCCATATGCATAATAACTTTCTTCTTTTTCTTGTTATTTCATGTCATTGTGACATTGGAGTCACTCTGGCTTACCTAATTTTATATTTCAATATACAGTTTTCATGCTTCTGCTGGGGTTCAAATTTTAAGATCAGGTAAGGCAACTGTAGAGCAGAGTCTAGGCTCCATAAATTACATCTACCCTATATCCCGGGTGATTTTTCTCTTTTCCATCTTTGATTTAGTTTAACTAGCAAGACTTGGTTGAGTAACAAGGTTCCTGCAAATGTCATTAAATTGTAGTATCATTTGGAATCAAGCCAATTTAGAAACATCAAAAGATTAGCACCCTTATGAATATTTATGTACCTCTCATGTCCGTCACCTAATTTACATTGAAAAGATTAGACGTTTCTTGCTATAGTTGTTGGCAACATTTTTGTTAGAACCAATACCACAATAAAATTTTGATATTGAATGGTTGAGACAGTCAAACAAAAAGCAACTCAGAATGTAAATTAAAGAAAATAAAAGAAAATAGAGAGTCCTCATGATACCATGGAAGGAAGCGCATCATAATGTCACCATCCCCAGTAGCACAACATGCACCAACTTCATCAACAGCATATGCTGAGGATCCAGCTATGGGACCATCACCTACCCTGTAATCAATGAAAAAAAATTTAAAGAAAACTTATAAAAAGAATCAAAAGAACAAACTTAGGGTGATCAATATCTGCTGCATTAAGAGTGTGTGCAGTATATATCCATGAGTATATGTAGTTGGGAATTGACAGAAGCAATTTGCCATGGCCTAAATGGAACCATCCTACCAGTGAGATATAAAGACAAGACAATTTAATTGCTAATGCCATCCCATCTATGAATAACAGTCATGAGAGTTAACTAACGTGTCTTTGTCACAACAAAAAAGATTAAAAAAAATAATTGCATGTGGCCTTTATAACATTAAGATAAAATATATGTTGAAAAGGAAAAAAAGTTTGGTCATTCAAGAAATGAAAAAATCTGTCCACTTCTAATACTGGCACCCACAAGGTTACCTGCCAGGAATCTTGAATGTTGCCCCATTAGTTGATGTGCCAACTGCAATGTGTCCCATCTATGCCAAATATGAAAGTGTCATTTGCATTGATAATATGATGTATAAAATCAGTTTTAAGCTAAACCTTACCCTATCAATAACAGCCATTGATATAGTATCATGGCTATGACGGCCAACACGAAGTAATCCAGAGTTACTTGCTAGCATCTGACCAGCACTGAAGCATGTTTCATCAGGATCCCCCAGGTAATTTGTTGGACGGTAAGGACCACAACTATTTTCAGGTAATACATTTTTCCTGAAATTTGGCTGGCAGCGACTATCTTTCCATTTGACCCACTTCTCCATAGATTCTGGTGAACTCAAGTTTGCAGGTCCTGGAAGACCCATTGAAATAGCAAATTCTGATGCCTTCTCTCCTACCAGCAAAGTGTGTTCAGTATGTTGCATCACTAACCTGGCAGCCTTGATTCCATCCTTTACATATCTCATGGCTGCAACAGCTCCAACTTCCATTGTCACCTATGTATCCCCTTAGCAGAATATGGGACCAAAAATCATGCCAATGCATGAAAAAGTATAATGCACGACACAAAATATTGAGCAGATACAGAACATGGTAATTGGTAGTTACCCCATCCATGACCAAAGCATCAATTGTAGTTTCTCCATTCTCATCTGGACTGCCGCCCGGACCAACTGTTTAGAATTGGATATTCAAAAGGCATATATAAGTGTACGTATCATGAAAAAGAACCCGAAACGGACCAAATCCCAAGATGGTTAAGGACTATATAGAAAGAACAAAAACAGCACCAAAATTCTGTCTGACATTCTTATTGGAAACATCCAACAAGCACTCAGCAAGAATGGAAGAAGCTCTAAGTCAAAACCAACTATCAAATATTTCAAAATCATATGGAGAGATAAATTCAAAATGTTTCCAACACATCCTCACACTCTAGAATTAGCATTATCCCCTCCCCCCAACCCCCCCCCCCCCCCCCCCCCCCCCCCCCCCCCCCCC